ATATATATATAAATAGTGATCGACACTTCGTTAAAATCAACCCTGCGGCCCAGTATCGTTACCGGCCTCCTGAAGTACACTATCTGGCACTTCCGTATCCCCAGTTGAATCCCGTACTCCCGATACCGACGCAACACAGCCGTCAAATCGTTCCAGTGCTCAGCTGCATTGTCGGAGGCAATAACAAAGTCATCTATGTACCCTATCACATGGTGCAACGCATCCAAAACCTCTGCCTGGGCTTCTTGAAAGCGCCAAGAGGCCTCACAGAGCCCAAATGGCAACCCGACACAAAGAATCGTCCCCACGGCGTCGTGAACGTCAACATACGCGATGCTTCCTCATCGAGCTTGAGCTGATTAAATCTGTTGCCACAATCCAGCACTGAAACCCACATGTTTTCCACCACGAACTCGTACATCTCCGCTTCAGCTGGTATCGGAAACGACTCCGAGTCAAACGCCTTCTTCCAGCGGCTGAAATTTGTACAGAAGCGTCACTCATCTAGCCCCTCGGGTGACGGCCTCGGCTTTTGCCCGGGATTTTTCAGGCCACCTGTTGGAAGGTTCTTCGCACCGCCGAATGATACCCCTCTCGAGCAACTGCAACACCTTTGCATGCGTTGCCAACATTTCTGGCGAGTCCAGATTCGTGTACGGCTTGTGGCCACAGCACTTCCGCGGCGCTTCTTCCTTCATGTACAGTTTTAGTGGTCAAGCTTAGCAAACTTGTGGTTGTCGGTGTCATATGCGCACGCGTGTAACAGAGCAGTAGCCTCCTGGACTTCCTCTACGATCTTCCCCGCCGCTCCACCGAGGTTCCTAAACCCTGTAACGCTAAAAACTTCGCCATCATCTTCAGACTCATAACCTGAGACATACCCGGATAAATATCCATTTTCCCGGTCCGGCATTACATCAATATTGTGGAGTATGTCCGGCCTACCAGGTAGGTATATCCCACTCATTATAGCTTCATCTTTGCCTTCGGGCGCTAAGGGATGCTGCTCCGCTACCTGCATACTAGCCTTGGAGCCCAGCACACCATCAGTGTGACGGCGGGCCTTCCGCGGCCTCGGCGGTGGCGAGTACTGCATGCTACCCGCATCACCACCTCGAGCTGAAATGTCCTCTTCGTGCGAGGAGGGAATCTCCGTAGGTAGCACCTCTTGCCGCAGACGAGGCCTGTGTGGGGTCGCAGACCCACACCACGTCAAGGCGACTGTAATCCTGTCAAATCACGTTCACCTACCAGCTGCTGCTTCTTCCTCGTCCGATGCTGCTTGGACCCTCCCCTGGCCCGTTGCGTAGACCTGCGCTGCGCACTTGACGCTTGCTGAGCATCACTATGTCAGTAGTGTATGCCGCAAGCACACTGTTGTCAAAGATCCATAGCGGGTATAATATGTAATTAATCATCCATATCATATGCCGACTCCCACCCGAGGCTTGCCTGCGTATAAATACCCAGGAGGAAATGCACATCGTACGGTAGACCAGCTGTTACCAACCATGTCTGTTCCCCAGTGTGCTATTACCCATCCACCGTATCTATTTCAGTGCCCAGTTGCACTTGATTAAGAAGGTGAATCTGTCCCATGCCTGGGATGCCGTGTATTGGTGGCCCATCATATGCAGTACATGCTATGTTCAGTTTATTAACAGTAAATTCGGATACAAAGTTAAAGGCTGAACCTGCATCCATGTACGTCAGAGTTTCATCCTCCTCCACATACGACGCGACCACCGGCCCACGTCAAGCATCTCGGGTCTTGCTGGCCTTCACAGCCTTCTTCTTCTCCGGGCAGTCCTTGGCTTGATACCCTTCTTTGTCACAGTTGAAACAGATGATGTCGGTCTCGGTTTACCACCCGATCGCAGCTCATCCCTGTAGTCGCTTGTCTGGCTTACTCGCCTCCAAGCGATCTTTACGCCTACCCTGCACCGGCGAACGAGAGCGACGAGAAGATCTGCCATCCCTGTGCCGACTCTCGCGATTCCTACGCTCATCGCGATCACGCCGTTCCCGCACTTCGCGATCACGCCGTTCCCGCACTTCGCGATCATAACGCCTGTTCTCTTTCCTCCGGCGTTCGTCCCACAAGTCTTGCTGCTTATGATACTGACGCTTCCGCTCATATTCAGCTTGCGCCGCCGCCTTGCGATGTTTCTTCAACTGGTTGTTGGATAACTGATTGGGAGCCTGTTGCTCAGCCTAATCACCGATCCGATCTGCCAGACTTTCCTGTGCATGCTCCATTGTTGCTGCCACACTATGTAAGGCAATAGTTTCCAAAGAAACTTCCCTCCGGACGTCTTACGCATATTGCGGAACCAATCCAATATCCCCGTAAAACCCTAAGTTTCCTTCAACACGGTCGCCGTGGGCGCTCGAAGCGTATCTTTAAATCTCCGCCATAAGGCATTGATCTCATCCCACGCAAACTGTAGCATCCTGGGTCAGATTACCATAAAAGCCAATCTTGAACTCAAACCCAGGATTATCAAATACAGGGTTTTGTATTTAGGATCCATATTTCTAATGATTTAGGGATAATATTTTTTTTCTTCAAAAATGGCAAGTATGTATGATACAATGTATGAACATATGGTATGGCTCTCATAGTCGCTGTAGTGGTTCAGGGAAGATTGATGGGAAGAAGTGGTCAGTAAATTCCCGTTTGAAGCTTGGGCCAAGTGAGTCGACAATGGAAGATATGTGCTGAGTCAATTCGGGCCGGTGTTGACAAAATACTGTTG